CTTACAAAATGCCTTCGAACGGGCCCTCGAAGCCATCTGGTCTCCTCCTCCTCCTCCTCTTCCTCCTGCTCCTCCTGTCTTTCCTCTATGTTCTTCTCCTTCTCCTTCTCCTCCTCCTCCTTTTCCTCCTCTTCCTCCTCCTGTTCTTGCTTCTTCACCTCCTCCTCCTCCTCCTTCTCCTCCTCCTCTCGTTCTTCCTCCTTCTCTTTCCTCCTCCTCCGCCTCGTGTTCCTCCTCCTTCTCCTCCTGCTCCTGTTCCTCCTCTTCCTCGTCCTCCTCCCCGTCCCCTCCTCACCCTCTGTTCCTGCTCTTACTGCTGCTGCTGCTTGGCCTCCTCCTCCTCCTCCTCCTCCTCCTCCTCCTCTTCCTCCTCCTACTCCTCCTCCTCCTCCTCCCCATCCTCCTCCTCCTCCTCCCCCCCTCCTCCCACGATTGATATTTTCGCCGTCGTCCTCCTCAGGCGAAGGAGCGAGGAGGATAACCAGGAAAAGGCTTGTAAACGTTCGGGAGGCGCGTGTCCATACGTATCGTTTGTGAGCGATCGGAGAGCTCGCCTATATTACATTTGTTCACGATAATGCCGCAAGTTCTTGCGCAACGCTTCCCTTTCACGCCCTTCCCGCTCATGTCAGGAAAGGTTTGCGTGATGCAAAGTGGGCGGTACAACGTGTGTGGTGGAGTTATCCCATGCTCGCGAATGGGTTGTCGACACCACTGCTCGCGCAATTATCCCGCCCTCTCACCTGCAAACTTGTTTTGCGAAACCCATGCGGCCACGATTGCGGTGACTAGTTGGCACTGGCTGGCACGTCTCTGCGGCTGCGCCAGCGCGCGCAGACTCGCGCGCAGAGCCGCTAGCTTGTTTGGCACAACCGAATTGGTAACGATGGCGTTTGCCGAGTGGAACTTCCCAACGAGTCTCTAAAGCCGCGCTGGCGCGTGGGCGCTTCCGTGTGGGTCGGTGATTCGCGCGGGCGCTGTATCATGAAAGCGCCGGCAAGCGGCGGTAACGAGAGGATAGCAGCGATAGTAGTAGCGATCATGACGATGCCGACGGCAAGGCCAATGGCGGCGCCGATGCCCGTGTCGACGGTGACGATGATGACGTCCATGTGTCGGTGATGAAGGTGGTGGGCTGGTGGTGGCGGCAATGGTGGCGATTGACGATGACGATGGCGGCGGTGATGCGGCGGCGTTGATGGGCGGTGATGCGGCGGCGCTGATGGAGGTGATGGCGCGGAAATGCACGACACATGGCAGACTGCGTGTTGCAAAACATGTTTTTGTTGTGTTTGTGTGTGTGTGTGTGTGTGTGTTCCATCGGTTGTTTCGGCGCTCTCTCGCGGAAATCTTGGGGCATCAATGGTGTTGGACGGATTTTGACACGCGCGCGTGGCCGCGCGCGTGCGGCCGCCCGCGCTGTGCCATGTGATGCGGAGTCGTGCGCCGGGCGCGTGCTGGATCCACGCGAATGCACCTCGCAGTATTCAAAAATAATCAAAAACATCATATGGGGACGACTTTCTAGTATTTTTGGGCATTTTCAAAGTATGTTTGACTATGTTTACTTCGTCGTCCAAAAATCACCTGTATAAAGACGCGGCCGACCTAAGACTACGGCCCCATCGCGTGCAAGGGCCGTGCACCCGCGCACCAGAGGTCACTCTTGCATGGGCTGAAATGAGAATGCGGGTCTTTGTGGAGTCCCGAAACGGTGCGGTGACAAACCGTGCAGTGACCTCGAACTCCCCCAAGACATCACCGCACGGTCCGTCAACGCACGGTTTTGGGACCTCGGATGCCCCAGTCGCCCGAGATGTCCTCCGAGAACGACCCGGTTCCCAAAACCGTGCAGTGACCCCGAATCCACACCGACTCACCGCACGGTGTGGTCACCACATCTTTTGGGGACCCCCCGCGCTGGAAGGGGTGTCTAAAAGCACATGTTTTTTTGATTTCAGCACCTGCGCGCGGGCACAATTTCTGCAGCCTCTTTGCTGAAGCACATGCGTGTTTTGTTGTTTTGTTTATTTTCTTCTCCTTCCCTCACACTCTAATGTGGAGCTTCTTGCACCGCTTGCGTGTTTCGTGTGACTTCGGCATGTGCGCGCGTGCGGACTTTGTGGCTTTCCTTCGAAAAGGGATTCTTGAAACAAGCACGTCTTGATATGGACAAATGTGACAAGGGTGAAGGGGGGAATGGCCGGTCGCCCGGAATGGTATGCAGTTCTATTGGACATGAACGATGAAGCAGACGCCTGTGTACTTTGCAATGTCGCATTGGGGGGCTATAAGTCCAGGCTGGGGAGGGCGGGGTGGTGTTTATTCGGGCGTTGGCGGGACCGAGTTTGGCGGGACCTGGTTTGGTGAAGTGTACCAAATGACGCCCTGCCCGATCCATTTCTCTATATTCCACTACCGCCGTCACTTGAAAACAAAACCAACTATGGCAAACTTGGCTTCGTGATTCTGGTTCATTGTTGGGTTTCGGGGCCCAATCACTAATCGGCTCCCTTTACCTGAGGTCCTTGCTATATCTAATCGCTTCCTCTGTTGTAAAGGGAACCGAAATGCTGCGATCTATGTTTTGTGAAACCACGTGACGTGCCCACGCCCTGGCTGGAAGTCCCATGTGGAGGCGTGGGCGTCGTGCGCCCCTGACCAGAACTTCGATCAGCATCGCCACAAATGTCACAAGCAACGTTATTGTCATCGCCATCGTTTGCATTATCACTCTTGTCATCACAATCGCAGTCCTCGGCGCCGCTGTCCGAGTCATCGGCGCCATCTTCATACGTATCGAGAGCTGGCTTCGACGGCGGCGGGCTGGGCCAGAGAGCGCTGGGGGCCCGTCCTCCTCCACTGTGGAGCGCGCTGTGCGCAGGCAGGTCGGCAGAGGCAGGCAGGTCGGCAGGCAGGCCGCGGCGGCACGGGTCTGCCCCGAAGGCCGAGCACAGCGGCGGCGCCCGGCGGGCGCAACCTCGCCACGCCCGCCCCGCGCACGGTGCGCCCACGGAGGCGCCCTCCGGGCGGGTCTCGGCTGCACCCTCCCCGGCCCGCGGGGGCGCCCACGGGGCGCCCCGGTGGGTGTCCACGGCCGCCCGCCGGCCGAGATCTCGCCGCGCTCCGCTCCTCGGCGGGCACGGGGCGTCCACGGCCGCCCTCCAGGCGAAACCCTGCCACACTTACACGAGATTTCTGGGGCAGCCCAGGTGAGAACCTCTGCGCTGCTAGGGGAAAAAAACGCATTTCCCCGACGGAGCACCCGATGATCGTGTTTTTTTCAGCTTGCCCGGGAGTGTCCTCCTGCCCCCTCCAACCTCCTACTCCTCCAGCCTCCTTCTTCTCCTCCTCCTGCCTCATCCTCCTGCCTCCTCCTCCTCCTCCTCTCCGTCTTCATCCTCTTCCTCCTCCTCCTTCTCCATCTCCTACTCTTGCTCTTCTTGCTGTTCTTGCTCTTCTTGTTCCTCTTGCTCCTCTTGCTCCTCTGGCTCCTCCTCCTCCTCCTCATCCTCCTCTTGCTCCTCCTAATCCTCCAGCCCCCGCATTCTCCTCATCCTGCCTCCTCTTCCTGCCTCCTCCTCCTTGTGCATTATTACGCTGCCTCCTTCTCCTCTTCCTGCTTCCCTCTCTCGCTCCCCCGGCTCCTCCTCCTCGTCCTCCTCCTCGTCCTGCTCCCCCTGCTCCTCGTCCTCCTCCTCCCCATCGAGCCGCCTCTTCCTCCTCCTCATCCTCTTCCAGCCTCTTGTTCGTTCTCCCCCTCATCATCATTACCTCGGTTCCTCCTCCTCCTCCTCATCCTCCTTCCTCCTCCTCCTCCTCCTCCTCCTCCTATTCCTCCTCCTCACCATCGTGCCTCATTCTCCTCCTCCTCCTCCGCCTCCTCCTCTTCTGGGCTCTTCTTTCCCAGGGCTCCCGCTGGAGACTTCTTTACGATTCGCTCCCAGACGAGGTTCAGTCCTCAGAAACTCCCAACATGACGACACTTACAAGACTGAGATGAGACTTCCCGCGATGAATTCGCAGACGAGGCTCCAGATCGAGACATCCTGATAATGAATTGATGTGTGTGTGTATGTGAGTGTGTGAGCGTGCGTGCTTGCGTGTGCGCGAATGCGTGTGTGAGAGTGAAAGAGAGAGAGAGAGAGAGAGAGAGAGAGAGAAAGAAAGAAAGAGACAGAGAGAGAGAGAGAGCGCGCGTGTGCGTGTGCGTGTGCGTGTGCGTGTGTGTGTGTATGTGTGTGTGTGTGTGTGCGAACGCGTGTGAGTGAGAGCGTGCATGAGTGCGTGAGTGTGTTTGTGTGCGTATGCGAGATGTGGTGTTAATGATGATGATGGTGCGTAATGGCGATGGTGACGTTGATGATCGTTTTGCGCGAGGTGCCCGGGGGATACAATAGCCCCACTTAGGATGTGGGGAATAACGTAATTAGTTAGCAAGCGCTGTACTACGCCGTAGTGCTTAACACTGCTTCAGCATAACAGGAAGGAGAGGAATGATGAGGAACGCGAATGTGAGGGCAACCTTCTGTCTCAAACGGACACCTTCCGCCGCGACGCCGGCAGCGTGTCCTGTTCAAAATGGGCGGGACGTGCTGTTAAGTAGTGTGCCCATTCTCTCCGTACCCGTGTCGGTAGCCCCGAACTGCTGCCGCACCGCCTTCTCGAGAGCCGACAAGAGAGGCACTCTGCTCGCCAATTTTGGACGCCCGAAATGGGTACGGAAAGAATGGGTACAATGCCCAACAACAAGTGTTGTCCCAAACCAACAGCGGCCGCTGTTGGGCAGGCGGCCCTCTGTCTCGAATGGACACAGGCCGCGGCGGCGTGGACAGCGAACCCTGTTCAAAATGAACAGGATCCGCGGTTGGGCATTGTACCCATTCTGTCCGTACCCATTTCGGGCGTCCAGACCGTCGGCCAGGCGAGGCCGGGGCTCCGTGCCCGCCTCGGGGCACCGCCCCCCCCCGCGGGCGCCGCCGCGGGCGGCGGGGGGGGGCCTTCTCGCCCGCCCGCCCGGTCCTGCCGATGCGGTGGACGTAGTCCTGGCGGCGCGCCCCAGCCGGGGCGCGCGGGAGGCGGCGGTGGGGCGTCCTCGTCTCCAGCCTTTCCTCGTCCTTCCTGCTCATCCCTCCTCGCTGGACAGACTGAAATCGACTGCGATCGTAGCGCCATCATGGGACAAGCAACGGCATGGCAATGCCACCGGTTTAGGCGCTGTGGCCAACAGACTGAGTAAGCTGCAGGAGAGTGCGGACAGATGTTCAGAACGTAATGGAACAAAGGCGAGGAACCCGAATGGGCAGAGAGTAACGAAACAAACAGCTTGTGAAGGGGGAGGGGAAACACGAACACAACCATAACTATATGACCTATAAGGAGGGCACCGAGCGGGTAGAAAACTGACTACTGAAATGGAAGTGTTGCGGGCGGCAACTGTGTGGTCTAGTTGCGGTCTTTAGTCCGCAGTGGGAGCAGGGGCTGTTCCACTGTACGTGGGCCAGACTCGCCTCAAGAAGCGACGCTTTCATTCGTATCACCCAACATCGTCTCTCATCGACGTGCATGTTCCAGCAACAACTCGAACATGCATCACCGTGGCAGACTGGGCGGGAGAAGGAGCAAATGCGACGAAGGTGCGGAAAGGTTGGGAAGTCCTCGCGGGCATAGAGCATCAGTCTTGCAGGCGTCGGGAACACAGTTTTCCCCTACCTCCCCTCCCACCTCCCCTCCTCTATGTCGTGCTCCTTCTGTTCCTCGGCCTTGCCCTCCTTGTAGTGTTCCTCGCCTTCTTCCTTTTTCTGCTCCTTTTCGTGCTGACCACTGTTGTTTTTCTTCTTCGTAGGGACACCTTGTTCGCCTCGAGCTAGTTCGATTCAAACCGCGCACACGCAGGCGCCTGCCCTAAAGAAGCATGGACGGCATACGACATCTCGACTCCGTTGCCAATCCGATGTTTGCCAACCGCGGCACACGGTGTGGAAGCTCAACCGCACCCACTTCCGGCACCACGCCACATCGTTACACATCGTACATCGGAGCTCCCTTCAGCCGAATTACAAGTCGAAACAACTTCTATTCCGTCACCATTCGTGACACGCGGGGACCTCCAGCAACGACGCGTGCGGAGGGCGGGACCAGGCGCCCGGACGCGTCCGAGTGCAAGGGCCCCCCCCCGCCAGCCTGCCGAGAGGCCGAGAGAAGTGCGACGGAGCTCGCAGAGCAAGGTTGTGCGGCGGCAAGGCTCGTATCGTGACGGCCCCGGCGTCGGTTTCTGACACTGCGCGGGCCGTTCAACTTTGGACGATCGTCGTCGGCCGTCGTCGTCTTCGTCGAGATCGTGGTCGTGGTCGTCGTCGTCATCGAGATCGTCCTCGTCGACATCGTCGTCGTCGTCGTCAAAATCGTCGTCGTCGTCGTCGCCGATGGCGCAGATCGCTTCATGTCGGCCGATGCCGGGCCACCTGGCGGCGTGCAGCCTTTGAGAACGCCCTCTCGCCACGGGTCTCGCCGCGGCAGGAGGCGGAGAAGCAGGACTTGCAGAGTCTAGCCGCTGCTCTCAGTCCCTGGCTGCCCTTCAGTGCAACAGGCCTCTGTCGCGTGGCTGAAGAGGGGTCCACAGCGCGAGCGCGCACAGTGGCATCGAGCGGCAGAATGACAGCGCAGCAGCACTGGCAAAGGCGCAGGACGCTGAAGGGGATGATGACGATGATGCTGATGCTGCTGCTGATGATGATGGTAATGATGATGCTGATGATGCTGCTGATTTCTATGATGGTAGCACATGGGCGTGATGGAAGTTTGGCCCGATTTTGCCACTGCGGCGCGCTTTTCCACGATGCGATTAAATAACGCAAGATGCAGACGAACACAAGACCATCCTGTGTGAATGCCATATTCTAGTTTCGACGGGAGCAGCAGCATACACATCACCTACTTGATCACAGCAACGCATCGAGTTCGAAACTGGTCCGAACGTGATTCCAAAGGGAGTCCCGCACGAACCGCGCACTGTTCTATTGGTTCGAACTGGATTCGAACCTGGTTCGAACCTGCTTTCCAAGGAAGTCCCGCAAGAAACGCTCACTTTTCTGTTGTTTCGAACCTAGTTCGAACCCGCTTTCCGAGGACAATTCGCGAAACGCGCAATTTGTTGTTGTTTCGAACCGAATTCGAGCCTGGTTCGAACCTGCTTGCCGAAGAAATCGCGCACGAAACGCTCACTTTCTATAGTTTCGAACCGGATCCGAACCTGGTTTGCACCTGCTTTCCGAGGAAGTTCCGCACGAAACGCTCACTTTTCTATTGTTTCGAACCGAATTGTTCCGAACCGACTTGCGATCCTGATTCGAACCAACGTGAACGGTTTCTCATTCAGCGTTTCGACATTGGGCGGAAGGGGCGGGGGGTGCAGGGGGCGTCTGGTTCTGGACCTCTGCTTGAATGCCACCTGCTCGAAACAGACAGGCGCCGAAGACCGCCACGATCCACTCCATGGGGTGCCGGGGGGGGGGGCAGGCAGGGGGGTGCGCGAGGGCCCACGCCGATCGGCAGACCAGCGAATCGGGGAATCGGACGACGATCACGAGGAAGACTCCTCGGCAATCGGGGAATCGGACGACGATCACGAATCGGGGAATTGGGGAATCGACCTCCGTCGACCCACGCGGGGTCGCCGTGCCCGGCCGCAGCGCCCGCGGGGGGGCCTCGGGGAGAAGGGCGGCGACGGGGGGGGGGGGGCGGCGTAGGGAAGGGCGGAGCCCTCGCGCCCTCGCCCAGGCGGCGGAGGGGGGGGAGGGCGGAAGGATTGGGAAGGGGGAGGGGAGGAGCACGGGGGTGGGAGGGATGGATGATGGAGGATGGGTGGTGGAGTCGAGGAGGGTGGTGGAAGGATGGAGGATGGAGGATGGAGGGCGGGAAGGACGGGGAGGATGGAGGAGGATTGAGGATGGAGGATGGTTGAGGATTGAGGAGGGTGGTGGAAGGGTGGAGGATGGGGGGCGGGCGAGGACGGGGGATGAGGAGAAGCACCAGACGGAGGGAAGGGTGGAGGGGAGGGGGGAGAGAAATGATGATGATGATGATGGTGATGCTGATGATGATGATGATGCTGCTGCTGATGATGATGATGATGGTGATGCTGATGATGATGGTGATAATAATGATGATGAGGATGGAGATGAGGATGATGCGGAGGAGGAGGAGGAGGAGGAGGAGGAGGAGGAGGAGGAGGAGGAGGAGGAGGAGGAGGAGGAGGAGGAGGAGGAGGAGAGGGAGGAGGAGGAGGAGGGGTGGGGACTATACGAGGGTTAAATGGCAGACGTCCTCCATGTTGTTCGGGGCGTCGTAGTTGATGACGTGGCTAACCTAACGCCCGACCCCTGGCAAAGGCTTGGATTTGACAACTGCTTCCCATCCCTCCTCATCCTCCTCAACCCTCTCTCTATAAACATGAACAACATATACATTATCAATTGACTCCCGATCCCTCTTCCGTATCGGCAACTCCTGCTGTACCAAACATGCTGGTGTGGGCGGTCGGACGTTTCCCAGTGTATGATTCCGGAGCTAGGCATTCATACTTACCACACTGATGGGGGCATGACCGCTTCCAACATGTAGCTTCCACATACAGGTCATGATCAATTTTCACATCTCCACGGATGAAAGGGAGCATTCCGAAAATGTGAATTTCGCCGTATCGCAATGCACCTGCGCCAAAGCTGTTTGCGAAAGCTACACGGGTGGAGGGGGGGGAATCAAAATGTCGATTTCGCCTGAGCGCAACGTATACTTGGCTTAAAGAGCTTATGTACAGCAGTGAGGCTTCTGGCGGCCGCGTTTCGCAACTGGGGCCCTCGATTGATCCGCTAGATTCTGAAAGGCGAGGCGACCCCGCATGCGATACCTGCACGTGTGTAGGGCGGTTCAGCTGCACAATGCGGTGCCGCCTGTGCAGGCTGGACTTTGGGAGGCGACGCGCTCGACGCGTGTCATGCCTGCACATCTACGGAGGGCGGCGCCTCTTCAACGTGGGACGTGTAAGCTGGACTTTGGGGTGCGACGCGCCCGACTCGCGTCATGCCTGCGCGTCTACGGAGGGCGGCTCCTCTTCCACGTGGGGGCTCTCGCTGGACGCGTCCACAGAGTCAGAAGCCCAACGCCCCGGATGGGTGGCGGCTCGTTCTTCACGCTGGGCGTTCGCCCAGTGCTTCCCCAACCTCAGAGGTCGATTGCATGGTGACGCTAGCGCCATTGCAAGAATGTGGGGAATCTAGATGTATAAAGCGGGCCTCTCGTTTGAATGGAAGGCCCATGGGGCGCTCGTTGTCAAGCGGACGACCCCCCCCCCACAGGGCACTTTAATACTTTTATGGGCTTTAGTGTGGAGGGGGGGCTTGGGACGGGAGGTTGAACTGCAGCATCCTTGGCGCAGTCTTGGTTTACTCTGATCACCTCCTAATCCTCCCCGTCTTCTACACCCCCTCCTCCTGCTTCCCCTCGTCAATATCCTCCCCTCCACCTCCCTCCATTCTCCTTGATCGTTGCTCCTTGCTCCTTCATTGTGAGCTCCTTCACTGTTCCTCTCTCGTCGCCCAGGTCGTCGTCCTCTCTCCGGTCCTCCTCCTCGTCGTGCTTATCCTTCTCGCTCTTCCCTCCTGCTCATCCTTCTCATCCTCCCTCGCGCTCCCAAGGACATGCGCAGAACCTGCCTCCCATCCTCATCACAATGTCGGACCGCGGTGAGGCTAGGAATGTGTGTAACATATATATGTATACATGATTGACGGAACGAATATCATCATTATCGTCATCACCTCCTCCTCGTCGTCCTCCGTGTCCTCCTCTTGGCCGCCTGAGACACCCGCAGGATCTGTATGACGCCTCATTCCTTCGGTCCAACCATGAGGCGAGTGAGTACCTCACATCGGCGTCATCGTCCTCATCGCTCTCGTGCTCGTGCTCCTGCATAGTCATCCCCCTCGTCCTCCACGTAGTCGCCGTCGGCCTCCCCTTCCTCCTTCATCCGGCTCCTCATCGGGCTCCTCCTCCTCCTCCTCCTCCGCTACATCCGCTGAGGTCTGGGCTTCGTGTCTTCTCCCTGCCTCCTCCCTTTTTTCTTTTTTCATTCATCTTCCATCCTGAGTCCTCCCTCGTCCTCCTCCTCCCCCTCCTGCTCCTCATCCTCCTCCTCTTCCTCCTTCCTTACCTCTCCTCATTCTATTCACTCCCCTTTCTCCTCCATCCTCCTCTCCCCTCCTCCCTCCCTTCTCCGACTTTCTCCCCCCCTTCGTCACTCCCTCGTCTTACTCCACCTCCTCCTACTAGTCCTCATCCATCCTTCTCCCGCCTTCTCCAGTCCTCCAACTCCTCCTCCTCCGCCACCTCCTCCTCC